ATATCATATATACAACATATAATATATACACAGAGTACATATAATGCATATTATATATTATGTGTATAATATACATTACATTTATATGACACACACACACACACACACACACACATATATATATATATATATATAGAGAGAGAGAGAGAGAGAGAGAGAGAGAGAGACAGACAGACAGACAGACACAAAGACACAGAGAGAGAGAGAGATTCATTCCAGACAATGGGGAAGGAGACACAATTTCAGAGCAAACTTCCTCATCCTCTGGCTCTTACAACTTTAATACCTCCTGCTTCCAAACTTTTTCTTGCAACTTATATTCGGGAGTGTTTTATATGTGTTACCATTTTTCCTGGCATCCAGAACACTGTGTTTGGTTACTTGTAGTTTATTTGCAGTTGGCCTCAATCTGTTGCAAAAAGAATTTTCCTAGATAACAGGTGAAGACTACATTCATCTATGGGTATAAGGAAAGGTTTACATTTTTGTTAGGGATTATGCTGATTTAGTAAAATGGTGGCTGTTCATTCTCTAAGATTCATGACTTCACAAGCACTGAGTAGTTAAACAGGTTTCCAGTACCCAACATGGCTTCTCTTCTATTAAGTAATTCAGAAGCCCAACTAGAAAGCTATTGGTTGGCCAGGTGGTGGTAATGCAAGCTTTTAATCCCAGCACTTGGGAAGCAGAGCAGGTGGATCTCTATGAGTTGGAGATCAGCCCGGTCTACAGAGTGAGTTTCAGGCCAGGCTCTAAAGCTACTCAGAAAACCCTGTCTTGAAAAACAACAAAAAAAGAAAGGATGGTTTCTTTCTAGTTCTCCTGTATTTATCTATTCTTCATATTTTTCCCATGAAACTTATTATTTCACATGATCTCATGGAAGATACCTATGACTCTCCTGTGTATGTTTTGCCTGTCCTGCTTGTCTCTGTTCTTTGGCTGCTAAAATCCCTTTATAAGCTTTTGTGAAGTATACATGGAAGCTCATAACACTACCACCAGCTGCCCGGGTTCTGCAGCCGCTTGACTAGTCTCAGGAAGGCAGCTTGCAGTGCCTGGTGCCTGGAAGTGGCAGGTTCACCACTTCCTCTGGGAACCTCGGGGCGTGGGGTGATCCCACTCATTGACACCATTCTGTAACGATAAGCCTGTCTGCCAAAGCCACCCGAGCCCTGCCAACACGTGGGCGCTTTCCACCAAGCCGCCTGAGTTCTGCCTACCACGTGGTCACCCAAAATAATACACAGAGACTTCTATAGGTTTACAATGCTGCTGGCCAATTGACTAGGATTTCTTATATGCTAGCTCAGTCTTAAGTATCAACCATAAAGACTTATCAGACACCAGCTGCAGGTGTCTTCTCTTGCTGGGATCACATGGCAGCTCCATAGAGAAGACAGCAGGAGGAAGAGAGCAAGAGAAAAGGCTTCTCTGAAGTCATAAGAGAGGGATTTATATCATGGTAGGTGTAATTATGACATGGTTAATGATGTGACACATTTGTGATTCTATTTGGTATATTTATAAAATGTTTAGGTGCTATCATGACCTGTTTCTTGTTTTCATTTGGAGACTAATCATGACATAGGAATGATTGTGTGTCAAAGTAAAAGGGGTGATCTAGTGATGGCTGCTTTGGTTGTCCATTTTACACATTTAAACCTATATCTTGATGTGGGAGGTCACATGTCTTTGAAAATATCCATGAAGCTGGAAGATAGAACTTTAAACTGGACCACATCTTCTATTTGAAACCCATAAAAGGAATGGAAGAAGGAAGCTTTTGCTCCTTGTCTGCTTGCCCTAGATTTTATAGCACACACATCCCTTCAGTGGCACACAGGCTTGTTCTTCTGATTCCATCACACAGAGAAGACCAGCTGAGAAACCCATCCTGAAGGACAGAGCAATTTACTTAAGCACAGAACATTCTGTTCATAGCTATCCATTGTTGGATTGTCTGGGCAAAAGGCTTTAATAATATATATATATATATAAAATGTGACTTTCAGAAAGTCTCCTAACAGTTCCTAAATGTCAATCAATCAGAAACCAACTCTTAACTACTGATGTAATCCTGTAACTTGTCTTTACACCTAGCAGTAGACAAGGAACTTCCCTCCCTCAGGAGGCTGCTGCATCCAGCTTGCTAGACTGGGTGCCTGTCATGGTTGGATGAAAAATAAAACCTTGCTTTTACAGTTCACTGGGTCTGTCTCCCTGATGGCCTCTGGGAATCTTCACAACTTGGGCATTTTTTCAAATTCCAAATTCCTAAATAGTGTCTCACCAAGGCCAAATTGCAGTATTTCGTTTTGTCTTCCCTTGTGTTATTGATCATAAGTTGTCATCTGAATTTAGCCTGTTATCCTTTGCTGTATGTAGCCCGGGAGGCTGGTAGTGAAGCAGGGAATGCTGCCTGTCTTTATCTGAAAGGTTCAGAACTCACAATGGGGTCATATATAAGGGTGCAGCATCCTTCGGGATGTAGATAAGGACTGGGCTGACAGGAAGCCTATGGAGAGTCTATGCAAAGTAGTTCCAGGCAGCCTGACAGCTGGAGCTGTGTGGAAGGCAGCAGGAGATGGAGTGGGAGGGACAGGTACCTAATGGGGCGGTGACAAGGTCTAATCAGAAGAAAAGAATCAGGGGAGTGCAGTTGGGCAACTAATCTAGAAAGGCGAGCCTCCCCACCATCCCTGTAGACGATTTTGACAAACCATGTGACTAAAAGTGGATTTTTTTTTTTTTTTAAGTGGGAGTGTCCAGGAGGAGGACCTGGATCTTCAAAGATCCAGGCTGAAGGGACCGGAAATTCCTCCATTCCCTGTTGAACACGGTGAGCCATGTTGTCCGGAACTGGATGAGGAAGACCCGACCAGCCAGGATCTCAGGGACCTGCAGGGAAGGTAACTGCATGCCGCAGATTGGGTCCAGAGGATGTGGTGGGTGTCACAGGGACCTGAAAACTCAGGAACCGCAGTGGCCCCGCAGAACAGCCTGGAAAAGTCAGCAGTGCAGTGGAGGGAGCTCCAGCCCTTTGGGCCTGAAACCTCCCAGGTTGGAGGAGCCACGGGGCTGGGACCCGGTTGGGAGGGGAGCTGGGGTGCGAGCGGTTTCTCTGCTGCTCATCAGGAAGCCGGCCCCGAGATATTTCTGTGTTTTTTTTCCTTGGTGTATTTTAGATCATATTGAATAAGCCTAGTATTTTCAGTTGATATTTTGATTGCCAAAATATTCTTGTAAAAATTATCTAATAGAATATTTGAACTTATCTGAAGATTTGCAAGCATGATTCTCTTTGCCATGGTGGAGATGACAAGGATATTGAAATTTACAATCATCCGTACTAATTTCCATATTATAAACTTCCACATTCAAGAGAGTGACACATGGAAATGGAGACTTGGATTAGCAGAGAGCTTTTAGATTACAGCTGAGGAACGACTCAAAATTTCTTTAAATCTGAAACTATATATATTTTTTTCGAATCCCACAGTGTGCTGGTAAACATAATCTTTTAAAATCATACTTTTATCCACTACTAATTTTCACCCTCAGACATGTGAACACTGTGGTATAAATAAGGCATTCGTGAAAGTGTTATGGCCAGGCCTGTAGCACAAGTTTTTTTGTTTTTGTTTTTGTTTTTTCCCAGACAGGGTATCTTTGTGTAACCCTGGATGTACTGGAACTGATTCTGTAGAATATGCTGGCCTCAAACTCAAAGAGATTCCCCTGCCTTTGCCTGCCAGGTGCTTGTATTAAAGGTGTGCACCAGCACTACCCGACCTTTAAACCACTCAGAAGGTGGAGGCAGGAGCATTGAAGTCAGCTGGAGGCTGGTAAGGTGTACATAATTACTTCAAGGAGAGTTGCCACTACACAATAAGACCATGTTTCAGAGGAAATAGGGAAAAAAACAAAAACAAAAGAAATGTGAATGTGGTCTCCAGAGTGAGTGCCAGGATAGGTAGGCTCCAAAGCTACACACAAAAAAAACCTTGTCTCGAAAAAAAACAAAAAAAGAAAAAGAAAAAGAAATGTGAATACATTGGGGTATAAAATGCTGTAAAAACACATGGTTTGAATAACTACGATACCTCATCTATATCAGAAAAAAATGTTATATTTATTTGTCTACTTGGTCCAAGAAAAGCACTCTGTTCATGGACACATGATAAAATTGTGATTCATTTGTTGTGGTGTTTACTGTGTCCAAAATCTATCTCCCAAGTTTTTTTTTTTTTTTTTTTAAGATTTTTATTTATTTATTATGTTTAAAGTCTTTTGCCTGCATGCCAGCAGAGGGCACCAGATCTCATTCAAGGTTGTTTTGAGTCACCATGTGGTTGCCAGGAATTGAACTCAGGACCTCTGGAAGAACAGTCCGTGCTCTTAACCGCTGAGCCATCTCTCCAGCCCTATCTCCCAAGTTCTAAAATTAAAGCTGTGCACCAATATGAGTATTCAACTGTTGGGTTTTCTTCCATGTTCTGTTGACAGTCAGTGGTGTGAATTTAGGCTTGTTCCACGAGGAATGGCAATGCCTGGAGCCTTCCCTGTGGCATGGTACAGGATGTTGCAGAATTGTAGCAGTATGGCTTCCATGGCTAAGAACTATCCTTGTAGTCTCCATTGCTCCTCCTGAGCATTTTTTGACAAACTAATTGGCAAGTGTGTGAGCTTGTGTGCATGAGTCTCAGATCCCACAGAATAAATGAAATCCTCAAAGGGAAAAAAATGCATGTGATGTTCTGCCTTCTTCCTGTGTGTCCTTTTGGAAGCTGTAAGCTTCCACGATTATTGGTTCATATTAAATTCAGAACCTCACTAGTGTATAATCTCTTCCTAATCATTCAGTACCATTTCTCGCACTCAGTTTTGACTGAGCTAGGATTGGATGTTGGATTCAAGAGATGCCAACTAAAAAGTTTTTATAATATTGCCAGTATTGTGACATTGCATGACAGTAAGGAAATCATTTGTGTATTCCTGTATTTAGTTTTATCTTCATCTACTGAGCACAGTACTGTGTGAGAAATCCAGGGGCTTCCTAAACAATCTCTTTCTCATGTGCAGGGTTCACTGATCACCCAGACCTGCTCACCTATGCAGCAGAACAGAGGGGACCTGGAAGGACAGAGGTAACAGAAGCTTAGGATACAGGAATGGTGGAGGGATTGGCTAAAGAGTGGAAAGGGATCAATGGGAGGGGGAAGTGGGACATGAAATTTGTTTTGACACATTGTGTTTCACTAGCAACAATTCTGGAGACTTCTTCTGAGAACAAGATGCTCGATGGTGATTTTTCTCTTCAAGTGTCAAATGTCTTTCCAGGATCTCCATTCTTTAGGATCATTGACCAGACAACTGATCATATTCTCTTTCTTGGGACTTTTCATGTGGTTTGACATTTTTCACTGACAGGTTTCAGTATTTATTACTCATACATTCTGACCCTTTATTTTTATAGCCAAGTAAGCCATGTGTTCATTGTTCCAGAAAGAGAAACTCAAAGAAGTGAAACAGTAAGAAATGGCTAATTCTCCAGTAAATATGTCTCAGGTCAGTCATCCTTTTCACTCTCTATGTCAATATGTTATACTCTAATACATTAAAAGTTTTAATTTTTTGCTTCTCCTAATTTTTAAATTTTTATTATAATTCTGTGACCAGACAACAATAAATCTGACACTGCATTAAGCAGACCAAAAGATTATAAAACTCAATGTAGTCTATACAGGCAGAGTTCTCACAGGGCACAGAAGCTCTGGAGCCTCACATGGGATTTCATATTTCACAATTGAATATATTTTGATTTACCTATCCACCACCCAAATCCCAAAAACCATTGACAAAATTAGAACTAGAAAAGCTCTTAGCTTAAGTAACTTATCCATAACTGGTTTTCATTATCTGCAATAAGTCTCCGGTCATTTAAGCTTCCTGTTCTCTTTTCTCCAAGTTATACTGTGTCCTCATTAACATTGTCTCTGTATACACCTGTGATTGGGAGATAATGCATGTGAGCAAAAACATGGTATTTCTTTCTGAAAGTGATGACTGCAGTTAATACTGCACATTTTGGGTCTGTCCATTTTCCTGCAATTTTTTTTTTCTCTTCAGCTGAAATGTACAGTTGTATACACTTTTCATAATACATTCATTCATCTGTTGATAGATAAAGCTTTGATTCTACTACTTTCCCTTTCATGACAAAAACAGCAGTAAAGATGGAGTATAAATATCTCTGTGGTGGGGTGTGTTGTTCTCTGTGTTTATGGCCAGGAGTGCAATAGCTGTGTCATATTTTGGTTCTGTTGTCAATTTTTTCAGGAATGTCCAAACTATTTCCCACAATAGCTGTATTAATTTACACCCTCCCCTCCATCAATAGTGAGTAAGGCTTTTTTACTCACCTTTATTGTCAGTTTAGTTGATAACAGACATTCTGTCTCGGGTGAGTCACTATTTCCAATTAGTTTTAATTTGCATTTCAATGTTGGTCCTTTTGTGATCCTGAGAACTTTTTCAATGTTTATTGGCCAATAGAGTTTCTATCTTTGAAAAGTGCCTGTTTAGCCCATTTGTTGATTTGCAATTTTATTTTCTTGGTATTAAATTAATTTAATTTTTGATAAATTTTTGATATATGCCTTATTTTAAGTTTCACTGGTATGGATTCACTTACCTATACCTTAAACAATTTTTGATGTATTTTTAGAATTCCCTCAAATTTTTTTCTTTTTCTTTTTTTTCCTTTTTTTTTTTTTTTTTTTTTTTTTGTAGGGTTTCTTTGTATAGCTTTGTAGACCAGTAGAGTTTTTCTGTGGCTTTGGAGACTGTCCTGGAACTCGATCTTTTAGACCAGGATGGTCTCAAAATCACAGAGTTCCACCTGCCTCTACCTCCTGATTGCTGGAACAAAAGGCCTGTGCTACCAACTTCCAGCCCAATTTTTATTACTTTGTGAGTGAAGTGAAATTCTCAAAAAATTCTAAAGTTGTCATTTGTCTCTGTTGGCTTATGCATAACCTTAGAAAAAATTTTGATTGCATCAAATATTGCTGATGCAGATTTTTCTCTGTTTATACTGGTCCAAATATTGTAAGGAAATTAACTCCATGGGCTATTTACCTTATATGTGAATGTACTCCTGTTACAATTCATGCTACTGTGGAAAAAAATCCAAAACTCTTGTCAATAAAATCAGTCATATATTCTTCTATACCTTCCTCTTTCCTAATGTGTGTGACATTGGACCTAGAGTGTAAACATCCAACCTGAGTCTGTTAGCATAGAATCATGTGAGGCACAAATACAGACAGGAATGATATGTGTCAGTGCTTTAGCCTCATCTACAGGTACAGCATTTAAAACAGAGACATCTACAATGGGATCCTATGTGACATAAACAACACATCCATAACAGATAGATAACCATGAATAGACCTTAAAATTTTATCCTGTTTCATGTATACTGCTTGTAAGACTGGTGTTTCATCCTGTTTTTACAGAGGTACATCATTCATGACAGAATGGGACTGTACTGAGAAATCATATTTTTGATTAATTATCTTAGCTCCTCTACATCTGTGTCCTTCTATCCAGGAAAGCACATCCAAGTAGCACTTGGTCAAACCATACTTTTTTTTATTTCAGGATGGGTTGACCTTCAGGGATGTAGCAGTGGACTTCTCCCAGGAGGAGTGGCAATGCCTCGACTCTGGTCAGAGGGCTTTGTGCATTGATGTGATGTTGGAGAATTACAGCAACCTGGACTTTGTGGGTGAGAATATTTTGCTTGTTGAATGCCCAACCTAACTTTTCTTTGTTTTCACTCAATAGGTTGTAAAATCTGTTAAGGAGTCCTGAAAAAACAAAGAGAAGACAAGGCAGATTTAGTAATTTGAAACAAATATTCAGCTATTTTGGGTTCTCTTTCCAATTTGCATTACACTTATTTTTGGTTCCAAGATTAATCTGTAGACTCAGTAGCATATAACATTTGCACTCATGTCTTAAAGCTTCTTGTCTATTATCACAATAAACATGTTTTTTTCAGATTTTTTTTATTTGAATTAGAAACAAGATTATCTTACATGACAGTCCCAGTTCCCTCTCCCTCCCCTCCTCCCCTACCACCCCCCTCAACTAAAACCCTACCTATCACATATCCTTTCTGTTCCCACTGGATGGTGAGGCCTTCCGTAGGGTTTCATTGGAGTCTATCATATCTTTGGGATAAGGCCTAGGCCCACCACCGTGTGAATAGCTATGTTTTTTATTGTGAGAAAAATTCAAGATACATAACATGGAAAATCCTAAGTATACTGATGAATTTGACAAGAAATATCAATCCAGATAACTTATTTAAGTTCCTCTGCTTTATGTTGTCATAGTGAACCAATTACTGTGTTAGATTTCTGTATTATTTCTGAAAGTTCTGGAATGGATTATGGACTGCCTGATAGTACTGGTGTATAATTGCATGAAAGCTAATCATGATTAACTGTCTGGAATGCATGAGATTGCCCTTGAAAGAGAAGAGACGGGAGAAGCCACAACTAGAGTGGACTTGTGAATAAGCAAGAGAACAGTGAAGGCTTCAAGTGAAAGAGAAAGCAAGAGCTGAGAATATTTTTTGATATTCAATTTCACTTGATACGATTCCTGATCATTTAACTTTGTGTAGTGTCCTGGCCTCAGGATGCATCCTGTCTGTTGTAATGACTGTGGAGGGCCTTCTGCATTATTACACCTGTATTGTGGTGACTTAATACTACTAAAAATAAAGTCTTATATGATTATGCTGAAATTGGACACAAATAATTTTTCAAATATTTAAGTCTAACTTCCGTCTTTGACGTAATGTTATTCTGTAATTGCCTTCCTTGTATGCATAACTTCCTATTACATCGTTTATGGTGAATGCATATACATTCTCTGCAAAATAATCTCAGGAGTCAGAGTGGACCTGAGAATAACCCTATGAGGAAAGTTAAGAAACACAGTAGTGTGTGGAACTCTGAGACTATCTGACAGAAATAATCAATAGTTTCCCATGACAGGCCTGGATGAAACAAGCTAAAGCCTTTGATTTCTGGTAGAATATTGTCTTTGCATCCATTTACTAAGTATAAATACTGTAAACCTGGGATTGGATTACACTCCGCGTCATTAATTGCTGAGATGAAATATTGAAAGATAGAAACATGTATTCTAAATATAAACCCTGAGTCTTTTGTATCTTACAGCTAATTAACCATCATCAATTATTTTTTTCATCTATTTCCAGGTAGAGATTTTGAGAATTATGAGATATCTGTTTTAAATCACTGACCTTTGAAGGCTGCCATGCTGTGTTTATGATAATCCATACAATTATAGTGATTGCAAACTGGCCATAACTGGGAACTTTTTTTTTTTTTTTGGTTTTTTGAGATGGGGTTCCTCTGTATAGCTTTGGAGCCTATCCTGGCAATCGCTCTGGAGACCACGCTGGCCTCGAACTCACAGAGATCTGCCTGCCTCTGCCTCCCGAGTGCTGGGATTAAAGGCGTGCACCACCAATGCCCAGCTAACTGGGAACTTTAATGTCAAGAGTTCCAGTTTGACTTATGTTAAATAACAACTTAGATAGTCATTTATCACATGTTTATTATTGAAAAAGGCCTATTAATCTGAAGTTACTCATTTTCAGAGAACTATTACAAGTGTGATCCTGTCCATCAGCATGTGAAGACTGAAAAGGAGTCTTGTCAGTGTAATGACCTTGGCAAAGCCCCTCATGACCCCGCCACATGTGCACTTTATAGAACAAGTGAAACTACAGAAAATTCCAATAACTACACATATAGTAATCACAGGGATGCCTCTGTTGACTCATCAAACACAGAGAGGCATGAAATTATGTACACTGGAGAAGAACCTTGCCTATCTAAAGACTGTGAGAAATCCTTAAATTTGAGTTCCAACTTTACTCAAGATCGGAGACTCAACACTGCTGAGAAAGAGCACAGGCAGGAGGAAGGTGATGACTCTTTGAGCTCTGCATCCAGGATTTTGCAACAACCAGTTTACATTGAAGAATATCCACACCAGTGTGGTAAATGCAAGAAATGCTTCAGGACTGCCTCTTACCTCACTGATCATGAGAGAATTCATACTGGAATTGCACCCTGCCAAAGCCTTCATATTGTGGAGAAACTTTACACATGTATGGAATGTGACATGTCCTCAACTTGGAATTCACAATTTAGAAGACATAAGAGAGTTCAAACAGGAGAGAGACCTAACAGTTGTATGCAATGTAACAAGTCTTATACCCGGATCTCACTTCTTAGAACACATCAGAGAATTTGTACTACAGAGAGATCTTACAAATGTATGGAATGTGACATGTCCTGGGATTCATATCTTAGAAGACATCAGAGAGTTCACACAGAAGAGAGACCTTACAAATGCAGAGAATGTGACAAGTCCTTTACCTGGAATTCAGATCTTAGAAGACATCAGAGAGTTCACACAGGAGAGAGACCTTTTAAATGCAGAGAATGTGACAAGTCCTTTACCCGGAATTCAGATCTTAATATACATCAGAGAGTTCATACTGGAGAGAGACCTTACAAATGCAGAGAATGTGACAAGTCCTTTATCTGCAATTCAGATCTTAGAAGACATCAGAGAGTTCACGAACGAGAGAGACCTTTCAAATGCAGAGAATGTGACAAGTCCTTTACCCGGAACTCACGTCTTAATATACATCAGAGAGTTCATACTGGAGAGAGACCTTACAAATGCAGAGAATGTGACAAGTCCTTTATCTGCAATTCAGATCTTAGAACACATCAGAGAGTTCATACTGGGGAAAAATCTTACAAGTGTATGGAATGTGACAAATCCTTTAGGTGGTATTCCCATCTTCGAAAACATCACCAAGTTCATACTAGGGAAAAACCTTACAAATGCATGCAGTGTGACAAGTGCTTTAACCAGCTCTCCCTTCTTAGAATACATGAGAGAATTCATACTGGAGAGAGACCTTACAAATGTATGGAATGTGACAAATCTTTTACCCGGAACTCACATCTTAAAAAACATCAGAGAGTTCATACTGGAGAGCGACCTTGCAAATGTAAGGAATGTGACAAGTCCTTTATCTGTGATTCAGATCTTAGAAAACATCAGAGAGTTCATACTGGGGAAAAACCTTACAAATGTATGGAATGTGACAAGTCCTTTATCTGGAAATCAGATCTTAAAACACATCAGAGAGTTCATACTGGGGAAAAACCTTACAAGTGTATGGAATGTGACAAATCGTTTACCCAGAATTCACATCTTAATATACATCAGAGAATTCATACTGGAGAGAGACCTTACAAAGATATGGAATGTGACAAGTCCATTAGCTGGGATTCACATCTTGGAAAACATCAGAGTTCACACTAGGGAAAAAGCTTACAAATGTATGCAATGTGACAAGTCCTTTACCAGGAATGCAAATTTAGAATACATCAGAGTTCACATTGAGCAGAAATCTTATACATGTATTGAATGCTAGAAGTCCTTTACCAAGATGTCACATTTTATAAGACATCATATGGTCCATACTGGAGAGAGACCTTGGAGTTGTCAGAAATGTGACAAATCTTTCATTAGATGGAAATATCTTGGAACACATCAGAATATTCATACTGGAAAGAAAATTTACAAATGTTAAAGCTGACATAACCTTTATCCATATTACAAGTCTTAACAGATGGAGAGAAAAATCCCATTGCAAATACTGTGACTTGCCATTTTCTGGTATTCCAAGCTTACAAATACAACTGTATACATAATAGAAACATAAAGATAAGAAACTTATTAAAACCTTATTTAACCTTTTGTGAGGTTAATCTTAGAAAATATCACAGAGTTTATGCCAAATTAAAATTCTCTCAATGTTACTTCTTATGTGTTTTATTGTGTATGTGTGTTTTGCCTGCTTGTTTTACTGTGCAATACATGAATTCCTACTTCAGATGGAGGCCAGAATTCCCAAAGCTCGAGTTTAAGGCGAATGGTGAGTTGCTGTGTTTGCTGGCAATCAAATCCATGTCCTCTAAAAGAGCAGCTTGGGTTCTTAACCACTAAGTGATATCTCCAGACCCTGGGAAAAGCTGTGAAAAAACATTTATCTTTCTACAACATCCAAAGATTCCTAACAGTGCCAGGCATGATAGTGCAAGCCTTTAATTGGTTACTTAGGAGACAGGGTTTGGGGTTGTCTGAGATAGAGGCCTTTGTGATGGACAGAGTGACATCCAAGACAACAAGGATTGCATTAGTCCTGCCTCCAAAAAATCATTTTGCAGACAAAATTAATTTTGTCTCTAATTTTTCTGTGCATCTCAAAAGTCATGCTTCTGACCAGCCATATGAAAATATACTTTTGTAATTGCTGTCTTCTTGTTTATTGGAGAGATAAGCCAAGAAGAAGTAAATATCAAAAGTAGGCCAGGTTCATTTTAAAAGGGAAATTAGTGAATGTGCGCAGATAGTGCTCTTGGTGGTTGCAGCTATGGGCACATCCTCTCAGAACCCTGAGGGCAGGACAGTATAGACGCCTGAATACAAACACCTGCCCAGGGACTTATTTCCCTTGTTGGTGGGATGTTGGGATTAGGGAGGGGTAACTAGGAGCAGGCAGCACAGAAGAGGTTGGGGATGGTTGGGCATCCAGAGCAGCTGGGGTTTTGAGTTTCTTCCTGAGGAGCAAGGCTGCCCTGGCTTTGCAGGAGCCTAAGAAGGGACCTCCTAGCAGGCCAACTCACCCCACTGCACTGCTCCAGCCCTTCCTGCCTGGCCATGGGTGTCCTCAGTAAGGCTGCCCCACATACCCCTACTACTGAGTATACCCTGAGGACTTCCAGCTTGGCACCTCTCTTTCCCTATTACCAGAGCCAATCATCATTGGGGAGATGCCTGGGCTCCTGTGTGTAGGTAACAGGGACTTGACCTAGGATGGATCAATCTGGAAGAGGAAGACAAGCCTGGGCATGGACCACCTGCTCACTGTACCTTGCATAGTGAGTGGTAGATTATGCGCAGTAGGCGCTTTCTCTCCTTATCAGTAGGTAAAGGGAGGGGGAGACCTGGACCAACTTGAAACTCAGATACCAGCCTCTATTCTGTCATGATGGATGAATTGTCATTGAGGGTGTAGACATGAACACCAGCAGGTCTGTCAAACAGAAAAGAATCTGTGGGAGAGTACACCTCTAAGAAGCAGAGCAGTCCCTTACATCTGTGACTCAGCACTTCAAATGTCTTTTCAGAGATTCCTTCAGGTTTGAAATAAGCATTGAGGAGATTGACTCGTGTGACATCCTGAGAATAAGGCATTTGAGAGGAGACTGCTACTGTCTGTGGGTTTGTGTTTCCCTATGAGAATTTACAGGAAGCAGCCAAGGCCTCTCTTCCAATAAAAGAAACATTCATCTCTTTGAAGTAATGCTGGAGGAAAGCCCTTTTGCTACTGCCTCAGATTCAGCACAAAAGCGGCATTGGATTAAGCTGCTTACAGCTCCTGTGAGTCCACATTCAACATTTGTGACACATTTGATCCCTCACTAGTGTCTTTAGGAGAAGAAGAAGAAGAAGAACATAGGGTCTGATAGATGGTTTTCTAATGGAGAAGGGGTGGGTGTCCCTCCCAATGCAACCAGTACACATATTTTCAGCTACTGCACAGATCAACACATTGAGGAACCAAAGATATCCACTTGGGATAAGCTAAGTGAATGGAGCTCTGCAGTTCCACAAACAAATTGTGACTCAGAAGAGGACACAAGCAATCTGTGTCTGCTGTCAAGGAGACAGAAGCAGCACCAGGTGTCCCGAGACAGCCACGTGTACCTAAGCAGACAGGGAGCTTGGAAAGTTCATATGCAGATCTATTACACACACTGCCTTGTACTGAATTTGCTTCAGATCACAGGGAGTCCCTGTTACTGGCTTGGGATGCACCACTAGGAAACAGAAACTCTTCTGCAAGGGAGACCAGAAGGCACAGTTTTGTTCAGGGACTCTGCTTGGGTGGATTCCATCTTCTCCAGAAGGCACGGGGGCTAAGACCCAGGCAGCAGGGCTCTCCAGCTGAGATGGTAGACACTGATTTGTCCCTCAAGGTGCCGTTGGATCCAGTGGTCACTGGTGATGTGGTGGGAGATGTTTGACTGGAGAGGTTGCTGCTGCCTGGTTGCAGAGCAAGCTCCAGTGAGGG